CTTCACACACCAGGCGACGAATGTTCAGTCCCTAATCGTGGTAAGTTGTAGGGGTAACTCTAGTGAGAAGTTGATCAATGTACGGTTAGTCTGTATAGTATAAATGACTCTAAGATGTGGTGAGAGAAACTCAAATGGCACAAGAACCTTAATCTTTCCCCAAGCCTTCGCCTGTTGGATTACATTCACATCAAATCTGGGTGCCATTTTGGAAAAAAAGCAACGAAAAAATGATTTGTGTTGAGGTAGTCGCGTGTGTGTTCTTTCTTAGCTTACGGGCAGCGACCAATCACATTGCGCGTAGAGTTCCGCCCATGGAATTAATGGCGAGAGGACTAATACTTACCTATTGGTGCCACAAACAACGTTGAATAACAATGTCCCAAGATAATCCACCACATGGTCACTACTCTCATTCCGTTAATTGAAGTAATGGCACCAGCAGGAATCTTGGTATCCATTATACAACTAGTGTTTTGTATTAATGAAAAACACAAAAAGAATCGAACCATACGATCTGTAGAATGAAAACATTTTTGACATGCTGGAGGTTACTGATGTGTAAATCGTTCACGATAAATATCACGAATTTAACGTCATCACAGTGTAACAAAATAGTTATCTTGTTGGGTGGGAGTCTGAGAGAGGCGGTGGCCTCTAGTCAGTGCGCTTGACTACCGGTCGGGAAGTCTGGGTTCGAGACCAGGCCGCGCCATACCCAGGAGTACAAATAAGTACCAGTGAACCGTCAGGGAAGCGTGATGAAATGCTCGGGGTTAACCTTGCGATGGACTGGTATCCCATCCACAGGGGAGTAGCAATACTTAGTCACTTCATAATTCAGAAACTGGCCGCGAATCATTGAGTTGCTTCCTAGGGAAAATTACCTAGCTTTCACGGAGGCTCTCTCCACCTGGTGGCATAAACTGGTACCGGTGAACTGTCAGGGACACCCCCTGGATGGGATGGACCGCCATCCCATCCAGGGGGGAGTAGTGATACTCCTAGCCACTTCTAGCCAGAAAGCGGGATAAGCTCAAAGGTGTAGTTAGGGTGGGGTCCTGGGATGTCCGTGACCCCCTCTTTCTTTGTGAGCCTTTTTTGTCACATCAAATAAAACACGGCGTGGAAGTGGATATGAAAACTTTGTTGAGTATCCTCTACTTGACACAGTATGACCCTTCCTTAAAAAATCTTGGCTACGTCCCTGAAACTCCAGTTAGATGGGCCATTTAGCTCAAGTACAGACAGGAAATTATAAAAAGCCAACCAAAAGTGAATGCAATAGATAGTCAAAGCATATATCGAATGCTAGGATGCCATGTCAGGTGACGATACGAAATTCCACTCAAGGAGAGAGCTGCGCCATTTGAGGGCTGTTCAAATTCCTGATTGACCGTGAAAAATTTTAACTTTTTCGCCTACTTTTTAAGCGTTTGATGGTTTGTAGTTCAACTAGTTGAAGCCCTTCTCGTGTAACATTAATCAGGGTGTGTTCTTCTTACATACTGCAATACATCAGATTATGGTGTACTTACGCTGCCTTACTCTACGCGTTTGCTCGATTGACAGAGTCGTCCTGGGACCTGATTTCACGTGAGAGGAACTTTCAAGAAGAGGGATTTTCTCTGCGGTCACGTGATCACTTTTTTGATTACTGGGGACGTTATCGTGATCTGTAGCTGTGAGTCTCTCTTTATCTGAAAAAGGGCTATCACTCTTGCTGACATGTGCCGGATGTGGCTCCAGAAAGCTCAGAATACAGTCGACGATTGTACCCAGAAGGCATAGGAACAAAATGAAACCACAAACAGCCCTGTTGAAAAAATTACACCTTTATAAAAACAGCAGTATGTTACAGAAACAATGTAATTCTCATCTCCTCCACTAACAAGCATATATAGATTATGGCTCTTGCCGCATTTTGAGGTTCCAAAAAATCACCCTTTGTGCTTTAAAACTGTCTTCAAATTTGCGTTAAATTCAATTATCATCAATTCCTGTAACTTCCAACTTTGGGACCCTGTGGGCGTAAAATTGAGAATCGCCTTCCTTAACAAAAGTAAACCACAACATATCGGAGAGAATATATTGCAATGCAGTTTACAGGGTATGCAATATTCTAATGGCGACGATGATTTCGATGCTTCTCGAAGTATAATTTCTAACTATCATCATAAAGAGATCGAAAATATCTGAGAAAAATATTTTATTTTAAATACCAGCCTCGCCATGTTTTTTAATAAGCGAATCAGTTTCGTTAAATTATCTCATGTAAGAGTGATTCTTAACGGAAGCGGAAGATCCTTGATATTTCGTATTGTAGGCTTTTACGCCAATAGCAGTTCTTAAAAGTAAAAACTTCTGTCTGCCCCCTCGATTAACATCATGCGTTTATGCAAACAACGGTAAATGTTAGTCCCTTCTTGTCACTCGTTCCGAGGAGAAGTAGATAGATGTGAATTTGATCATGATTCGAATTGCAGAGTAACAAGGTGTAACAAACAAGGCAAAAAATGCATTGAGGCGGTCAGCACTCTGGATGTGAACTTTTTACTTGAGATGTTAATAATTTAACAGAGAGATCCCTTGTTGCCGTGGGTCTGTTCAATTACAGATCATACCGAGATGACGTGAAAGTGGTAAGAACACAAAGGTAGCACACCAGACGCAGCTGAGTGTATCGTTGATGTTCTTTCGCGTATAATTTAGCTTATTCAACAAATTTGAATAGGAAGCGACTTTGACGTCATCTTAGAACTATTCAAGCATTCGATGTGTATATGTAGGCTTAAAAAGATAGAAATCAGTTACTGCATTCGAATTTGACGCATTTAGCGTAATAAAATTGACATTGAACAGTTTATATATCAAGATTCCTAACATCCTGAACTTGGTCCAGCAGTAAAGCAAACAGTGGGGCCGCTTGTTATTAATAAATATACTCACAAAGTGATGATAACGCCAGTTGTATATTCAGACTTTTTGTTGCAGTAAACATATTGTTCCTTTTCATCCACGGCGTATGGCTTCAAGGTGAACTTTGGGGAATCTAGAAAAGGCCAGAGGTTGAGTTACAGAGTTGGGAAACGGACTGATTTTCCCTCAAGCCTTTCTTACAAGAACGACCAGCTAAGCAATCGTCGTAACATCTTTCGGCGAGATCTTTCGTTTGAAGGAACTGTGTACACTTACGGCGACATAATAGTTGAGAGGTTGAGTCAAAAACAACTTTTTTGTTGTGAAGCTTATGGTAAACAATTGATCATAATGTCTATGTACTCTAACAGTGTTATTACTAAAACAGAATAGGGGCGCTCATTAGAATAGGGGCGCTTTTCAATGAAAAAAATTTGTGGGTGGCGCATAATGGAGAGTGGGTGCATTTTGGAAGAAGGGTGCTAAGTCGAATCACTACGTTAAACATAGAAAAATGTTAAGGAAAATTGGAATTTGTGGCGTTACAGTGTTGCTATGTAGAGAGGGGAAAGGGAAAAAAAAGGCGTCAAGGCTATTTCAGATTGGCTAGAAGGGGAGGTAAAACTTTTCATAAAGAAGTTTAGGGGTTTTAGGTAGAAGTTTTGCGCCTCACATAAATAATGACCGGTCACTACGGAAAAAAAAGTAGTACCTATTTGTTGAAAGATGTATTGTAGAGCATGAACCACATCTTGTTCATCGCAACTTTTTGGTACACAGAGACCCCAAGGAAAAGAGAGTTGATGTAGCCCCAAAGGAATAACGGGTTCCTGTGGCGAGATGAAACAACAACAACAAACAATAAGAAAGTTGGTTAAATTCACAAAAAATCAAATCTGTATGTGTCTCAACTATGTATGGCAATCCCTTAGAGTTAATTATATTTATATAATAGGCTCAGTTATGCACGCATTCTGATTGGTTCTCACTTATGATCCATTGGAGGACAAACAAATAGATGACGTCATCATTAAAACCTTTTTTAATTCTTTATTATATAAAACAAATAGATTCCAAGTTGCCGTGCGTCTGTTCAGTAACAGATCACAGAGGACGTCAAAATGTGGTAAGAACATCAGTAACACACTCGGCTGCACCTCGTGTACCACTTTTTTGTTCTTACCACATTTTTACGTCATCTGTGATCTATTACTGAACAGATGCACGGCAACTTGGAATCTTTTTGTTAACTAGAATTGGTAGTTCATTATTAATCGACTGGTAGGAGGCTTGGAGGAACTAGGCCACATGGTTTTAGGGCAAAACGGAAGTGAGTTAGTCGTTGGTAAGAGAGTATAAAGGAGGGATCATGAAATTAGATTTTGACATAACAAAAAAAACTCCGATCTCCTCCTCCCTTGCCGGTCCTTAGCATTCAAGCGTAGTTGCTAGTAGTAGTAATAATGATAATAATAACCGAATAGAGACACAAAATTTGAAGGTTAAAAGTTAACTCCGTTTAATCACGCTATCACTTGACCCATAGTGGCGGGAACACTCCATCACTTATTAATCTCTACTCGGAATATTTAATAAAGTGAAACCCTATTTTGAACCGATTTTTTTAATTTCTGTTTAAATAGAAATGTTAATAAGAGTGCTTACAGTTTACTCTCAATGATGTCTTATCTTCACTTAAATGACTTGCAACGATAGCCACCTACCCCAGTGACATTAAGCTGTGATATTGAAAGGAAAGCCGCGCAATAGTGGGCGTCAACTATGGTCTTTGTACATTCACTGTATGATCCTATCATGGCGAAATTTTTCAACAGCATTCCACTCGGAGGTTTACCAATAGCATCTAGGTCTGGAAAATACAGGTAACTTTTATTACGGTGTAGAATGAAAACTTGCGAGAGTTATCTTTTTTTTAATATTGTTTAGGAAATATTGTGACGAAGTCCGGTGGGTAGAGCTGAAAATGTCAGAAACTTTAGGATTCACGTGTGAAACCTCATGGCCACATTATCCTACAATGGTGGAATAATAATTTGATTGAAAAGAGGTGTGTTTCTTAGCTGTGGTAAGGACAGCGTTTCAGTCCCCCGCCACCGTCCATTTTTTGTGTTTTCAAGTATTTTTTTTAATTTGTCCTTTTTTGTAGCATTTTCAAGTTAATCCTGCGTTGTATGAAGGGAAAAATGTAATCCGTTTTCCCGTATAAACGGCAGAAAAGTTCCGTTTACTTTTTACGAATAACTTCATTTAAAAAAGACTCTTTCATACTCACAATAAGCAAGCGTTGAAGCGTTCAGCTTTGTCACGGCATCGAAACATTCCTCGGAAACTCCAGCGCTCGCTAAAGATATATTTGGAAGTGTTGATGGCAGACCAAATTGCTGTGCGAACTGGGCGTAGTGCCTAGAAAGAGATAAAGCCAACATGTACGGCATTTGAGAGAGGAAAAACAATAAGAAAACTGCAGAAGTTCTCGATAACATAGCCATGTCAGATCCTCTGCACTCTGACCAGAGATCAAAATAATAGGGTTTCTTTATTCGTCTCCTTCCGAAAACCTGGTCCCGTGGTTTATCCCGTGTTTAGCCTTTTGCACATCAGCTGTTAAATCCACACGCGGCCCAAGCTCTAGCTGTGAGATGATCATCTTGCACAATAACATTCATGGCGGAATTATCAGAGTTTGTATGGGAATATTTATTTACACACAGGCTGTGAGTAGGTGTCATTGATTTTACCCGTAAAATGTTCGTATTTCGAAATATTTATTGTTGTAAATTGACCGTATTTGGTTCCTCATTCGTGTTCAAATTTTCAACGCGCTCCTCTCGTAACTTAACACCGAGTCACACAACGCGTGACCTTTCATGAATTAATCGTTGGCTTTTTCTCGAGATTTGAGCTTGGGCCGCCTGTGATAGGACCATCAACAGGGACCGCGCTGAAAGTTTTTGAGTGGGGGGGGGGCTATTTTTGGCTCCGTTGTTTTCGTTAGCTGAATTATTTTTTGTTTAATTTTTTTTTTTTGCAAAAAAGTGGGAGGGGGGCTAAAGCCCCCCCAGCCTCTCCCTCTGCGTGGTGCCTAATCAAGCACGCTTAAAATCCTTTAACTCCCATGAGTGACATTAACTGATTGCTAGTGGTGAAAAAAAATCGTGGGTGAAATATAGCTTAAATTTCGTTCGTTGAAAACTTGATTCCAGGAATTTAATTCACTTAACTCGAGTTTTCTTGTTAAAGTTAGAATCCTTAGAGCCTGAAAATTGACTTTCTTCAGAAATTTTGGAAGGATCGTTGTAAAAGTCAAAATCACCTGACAATTGAGTACAATTGGGAGCTAGCACTGTCAAGAAATGTTTATTTCGTTTGCGAAAATAACGGGTATGGGGGAAGGTTGTTTGTTATCATGGGGTGAAGCCTTGCTGGGAATATCTGCTGGATATGATCAAAACAAAAAGTTCAAGGATCAGTCTTCAGGAAGTAGTTGGCAATATGAAAATTTTGGCCACCAAAATGTTTATGTTTTTAATAATTTGAAGACAACCTTGGGCTTTCTTGATGACCTTGTTTCCGGCTTCCGATGAAGTTCTTAATGTCTGCGTGATTGAGTGCATACTTTGTCGCTATGTGCTGTATATGATTTGGCTTGTCTTGTCACGCGCTCATGTGACACGCTCTCCCGGCGCGAACAAGACGTTTGCCCTACTCGTTTTTCAGGCTGACTCATATCATTGAAATGAGATAACATGACGCCAAGGGGGTTTATTTGAAATCACAGGCGGCCCAAGCTCTAGCTGTGAGATGATCACCTTGCAAAATAAGAGTCATGGCGAAATTATGGGAGAAGCTTCTCCTATGTACGTAATAAACCTAGAAATGGATAACTCACTAAAACAGGTTCTTTTCATCACAGCAAGCGGTTAAAAAACAAGCGATGCACTGTTGAAATAGGGTAGGGTATATTTATTGAGAATTTGACTATTTTTTTATTCCTAAGAACGGTCGTAATATTCCCATACAAACTCTTATAATTTCGCCATGAATCTTTTTTTTTCGCTTGGGGCCGCTTGTGTAAGAAATGTGAATATTATTTGCAAATGACGGTAATAGCTCCTTTAGGCCGTATGTGCTTACATTCAATAAAAGAAGTTTTAGTTCTTTATATTTGTCGTGGTTGCAAGATCTTGGAGTATACAGAGATCGCTCAAGTACTTTCTTCAGCGGGCTTATTCTGAGAAGGCAGTAATTTGAAGAAAGGAAGCGATGTTTGCGTTTGTAGGTCCGTGTACGGTTTATTTAATACCTTTCGCGCGAGAATAAAGACATCACGCATGTCAAATGCGTGACAAGCTAGTGGAGGATACGTTGATACTCAATTTTACAGGCATCTCACGCAATTATTTGGCGTCCTAAATATGTTTAAAAAAAACTCTAAAGAAAAACATTTTTCAACGCACCGTGCTCTAGAAATCTCATCTAAGTAAAATGACATGTGAAAGCACTCTTCGAGGCGTTTGAAGCGCCGTCTTATTGAATTAGTCTTGATCGTTGGCTTCATATCTGCAGTCTCCTCGATCTAACACATGAAGCATACATAGTCATATCGTCATGGTTTTTTTCATTCAAACACACTCATTTGTGAGCGAGTAGTAATCGCTTGATTGGCCAAACTGAGATAATGCATCTCTAATAAACACAAATAGATTCCGATGAAAAAACGCGGTTTTCCGATAGAATAGGCAAAATTATATTCGTAACACCTTTCAGCAAAAGTAAGATTACCGTGGTGGTGCTGAACATTCTTTCTAGGTGTTTGTTTACAGAGCGACGTTTAATCGTTTTTTCCCCAAAATTTAAGCCGTTTACTCAGAAGAAGCGCCAAACTTTGAAAAAATGGCGGGAGACGAAGCATTTATAATGACTTCCCTTGTATTGATTCTCGCCTTATTTCCCCGAAGGAGACGGCGTTTCTTTCAGAGGATGCGACTAATGTCTCGGCACATAGAGGATGACACGGATTGTTGAAACGGGAAAGTATTACGAGTGAACTTGTCTGCCATTCCGAAAGCATTGTTTACAAAGTTAACCACGAGACGAGCGCGAGTGTCTGGAAAATATTTTCTAGTTCACGATTTAGCAGGCATCTGTCACTACGGGCAATGTAATTGGCTGCGGCATTCACTAGGACGAGTTAAACCATCTCGCGAGGTAGCATAAGTTTGCGGGAATTTCCGGTCATAGAGGCGATTTCCCTTGTTGTTTTTGCATTTTTAACTAGCTAAACTTAGAACGAGCTCTTTTCCCTGTACTTCGAACTTCCAGACTTTTCCGACTTTAACTTGTCAAACTTGGTCTAGCGAAAACACAACCCGTAAGTCATGACGCGAAAAGTACTGGAAGCCAGACGAGGATCAGGGAATGTTTTGGAATACCCTTTCGGAGCTTGCGTACTATTTTGCAAATTTTTCCGGTGCGAATTAATTCATTTGCATAACTTTGAAGGACGAAGAAAATTGGACAAACAAACAAACAAAAAACAAATCAAAAAAGGCTTTCGAAATAGGTCGGCTATGAAACAAAACTGAAATGGTAGTCGTAGATAACAATTCAATAACTAAAACAGAAATGATTAATTTATACTCGCAGAGTTCAGGCATTTAGGAGGTTTCCTGGAAAAACAGGACCAAAGATCACTGGATCAAGGATCAAGGTCAAAACACGAAGCCGTTTTTGGCGACTGCCGGAGGGAACAGCAAATTATCAGCTGCTTTAACTTCATCACTTCAATTTTTTACTGACGTCATATCCTTAAAGGAAAAGCAGATGGAATGCATCTGAAGAATCACTTGCTAAGAAGAAGACGTTTTTAGTCGTTTTTCCGACAGTATTTGACAAGAGACATAATTTGGAAAGTGATAAAATTGTATCGCCCCACTGAGTTGTTGTTGTGAGTCCCCTGGAGTATACATGGACGACAGTCGCCAAAATTGCACCGGAAGTCAGAGACGCAATCTCATACCGACACTCGGGATAATTTAGAAATTTCATGTGAATATAATATATGCACAAGTAAATCCGCTATGTAGCTTTCAGTCTTCAATAGGAGTTCTAATAGTCGGTAGGCGAAAATTTACACTTCCACAAAGTAGTATGGCTTTTTCAGTATTTGGTATTTTCTCTTATTTTCGCTTTTACACACGGAAGATCTTGACTGAGTCACGTAGATGAGCAATCAATCACGCCTATTAATTTATTTAGTTTGATTCATTTTGAACTGATCCTTGATCCGGTGATCCGGTAATCCTTGATTCTTGATCTTTGATCCTGTTTTTCCAGGAAACCCATTTGGGAAGAGTTTGGGGAAGGCATTAGGGAGGAGTTTAGTTTTCTCACCGCCTCAATTTATCAACAACATCTAATCAGCACGCCGGAATTATTAAACTTACTACAAAACTTTTTTTATCATTCGACAAAAATTTTTCTTGATTCATCAACATAGCATCTTTCACACGGCTGTATGAAGTCACAAAACATGAAATGTTTGCAAAAGTCGCTATTATATCATACAGTATAAGCCAAAATATTAAAATAATGCTCACTCCGGTCTTGATGCTTTTTCTTGTAAAGTGCTACATCTCCGGACTATATGTGACATTCTAAACTCCATGACGAGTGCGCATGGGACTTAACATTACTCGCTGTAGAATGACTGCAGAGACCCTCTGGAATACTTCGCGGAAAAGGGGTCCGTGGATCGCCCTGACGTGTCAACAAAATAGATTCGTCAACGCGACTACATCTGCGTTGATTCCTCTCGAGTTGGCGCCGTTCACCAAACCACACCTAGAGAAAATAATTTTAATTTATTACCTTATCCGAAAAATTTAACCATACATTTGTTTGTCAAGTTTTGAATAGAATAATTATCGAGGAGATCTAATATTTACGAGCAGGAACACTATTTCAAACGTTAATTCCACTCCTATTACTGACGAGTGTAAATTCCCAATCTACCCACCTCTCACTGAAACGATTTACACGAACGACTTTTTGACCCCGTGCACTCTACGAATTGATTCATTCGATTCCGGTCGTTTTGTATCTGTGTGTGATTCTTTCTTTCGTTCAGAAGAACAAATAATTTTGTTCTGACCAACAAAGTGGTTTCTATTCAATGATGCTTTGTTTCGAAAGATACGGGGTTCAGATGGCACAAAAAGCAAATATTTCTTCACAGCCCTGTCTTCTCATTAAGACTAAAGCTCTCCACGTTAAGACCTTCAGAACTCTGCTTAGGTTAAGGTGATTTTTCACCCTGCAAACTCCAATTATGACTACTTGAATTGAACAATATTCAGGAAAGAAAAAAACCTACGTATATTACCTCCATCTCTGTCTTGGTTACTCCAAGTTCTATCGCTATTGTCGTCTTCTCATTATCGTTTAAAAATTTCTTTCTCTGGAAAACATCCTCTAATGCTGTCTGCTGTCCAAACGTCAAACAAGTTCTTTTGACCCGGAAGGACTTTTGGATCACGG